AGATTAGCCCTTTGCAACAATAGTTTTCCATTAGTACTTTTATGTAACCTACTGCCTACATATGTTTTCATTTCCATGTAATCAAATATGTCAGTTTTTTATGGCTTTGAGATGGTGTTAAAAGGCCTTCACTACTACAAGGTTATGAAGAAGCTTGCCAGCACAGACAGAATTTATGTAACTTCTATATATGTTCATCCTTGGCTTCTGAGTCAGGGGCTAGTTTTCCTGAACCTTTTTTGTCTTGATCTTCTATCTATTCGGTGGAGACTCAGCTCTGAGAAATTACAGGGGCCCAGTGCTGGTAACAGTGGACACTGAATACCTAACAAGGAAATGGCTGCCCCTTCTGTTTTTACAGAGTCCACAGTTGAGCGATATGAGAGATGGTTACAAGACCTTAGATGAGGCATCCTGGTCCAGTTTACCCTTGGAGACAAATCCAGGTCCTGCCACGAACTGAGCGGCCCTGGGCAGGTCATTTAGTCTCTGTGTCTTTTAGCCTATGTTTCTCCACCTATCACCTGGCTGTGAGAATTGAGACATGTCAGATATGGCTTCACTTTGGAAGAAGTCAGTGGTGATGCATACCTACTCAGGTTTTAATTTCTCATCATTAGCCATGCCTGCTCTGGCTCCCTGACTTTCAGAGAGAAATCCTCTCAGAAACGCCTTCTTTTATTATACTCAGGGACTGTCTTAGTCAGCTCTGGCTGCCATAACAAAATGCCAGAGACTGGGTGGATCAAACAATACGAATTGATTTTTCACAGTTCTGGAGATTGGAATTCCAAGGTCAAGGTGCCAGCAGGGTTGCTGTCTGGTGAGGTATCTCCCCCTCAGTTACAGATGACCTCACCTGGCCTTTCCTTAGTGGGTGTGGATGGAGAGAGATGTTTTTCTCCTCTTATAAGGATGCTTATTCACTCATGAGGGCCCCATCCTCATGATCTCATTTAACCCTAATGACCTCCCAAAGCTCACCTCCAAATACCATCACATTGGGGGTTAGAGCTTCAACATATGCATTTGGGGGGACTCACACAGTCCATCGCAGGGACTGTCTTGAACAGGCTGATGATGACAGCTCTGTGACGTTCTGCTCATGCTAACCATAGAGGTGGTGGCAGTGTGGAGAGAGAAGAGCCGGTTAGGCTGTGGGTGGGGAATTCACAGCAAACTTCCAGGATGTTGAAAGCTGATTTGGGGAGAGGGACTTTGGTAGGTCTGTGCCAGCCCAGGTCCTCTGTGGGTCCTTCAGGGTTTATTTTTTTCTGAAGCAGATCAGTGGAGCAATAGTGAGCCAACCAAGCCTTGTAGCTTTGGGCAGGGCTTCGAGATGGCACAATCTCTGCTCTCCCAGACTTCAGGAAAGTGTGATACAGGCAGTTGTTCTTTCAGAGCTGAGCCTGGGAACAGAGGGTGGGTGGCAGAAATAATCCACAGACAGGAACAACCTGGGTTTTGCATATTGGCTTTTCTACATCTTAATGGAGCATTTACTCTGTGCCAGGAACTATTTAAGCACTTCCCAACATCCTTATGAAGTGGTATGCCAAGTTCAAGCAGAGATGCAGAACCACTCTAAGTGGAACCGAGTAGGGTTTGGTGCAGGAATGGGACCTTACAGGGCAGTGGGACCTTACAGGAATGGGACCTTACACTGCAGAAGAGCCCTTGTCCAGCTCCTGCCCCAGAACCTGGGCCTGAGGTTAGCAGGGCTGCCTGGCAGGAAGGAAACGAGGGCACTGAGTGGAGCAGAGTGAGGACAGCCTGGTTCCGTGAAGATGGACTAGAACCGCATCTGACCCTCACTGTCTCAGCCCCAGCAACAGGGTGACTTTGGCCATGAAGCTGCACCTGTGTCTGGCTCAGGACTCAGAGAAGCGGGCGGGGGTCCAGCGGGAGCTGGGGTGGCTGTGGCTGGCTGCTGCCCTTCCCTCTGCTCTGAGGGGAGCCAGTGGACAGCAACACGTGCATAGGCTGCAGTGGCGCCTGGTGCCCTGCACCTGCCTTCGGGGACTGGGGGCCGCCCCTTCAGTGCAACCCCCCAAATCTCACACAGATGTCCTTGGTGGTCCGATGTGACTCAAAACCACCTAGGAAGGGAATTCTGGGAAACTTGGTTCCTACTGATTGCTGTGGACATAGGATGCAGTCAGCAGGGGGGGGAGGTCTGTTCTTTTTTCCACTTGACAGATGTGGAGATAGAGGAATAGAGGGAAGGAGGCGCAGTGCTTGCCCAGGGTCACACAGCTATTAAGAGAGGCTCCTGCTTCGGTGCCTTTAACTACTACACAATGCTTGTGGCTTATTACATCAGTAACCCCATCCCCTGTAATAGGACCTCAGACCATGTAAAGTGTCTCTAAGATGAAGCTTCTAAGGTGAACGATGGACCCCAAATATCCTTTCCCCCTTGATAAGCCACTGTGGGTCCCAATCATAGCCTCTCTTATACTTCTGCATACTTTTTTTCCAGTAGTAAGCTTCCTAGGTTTCTTTCATAGGAATGCTTACTATATTTAGTTCCGGGCTTACATTAGCACCTAGAGTTGCTATTTGGTGGAATAAGTTAAGAACTGGATATGTTGGGCCCTTTGACAACAATTGCTATCTGTTGCACATCAGCTGCTTGCCAGGGACTGTGAGTATCATGGTGTCCTTTATGGAAGAGAGAATTAAAAGCTTGGGTTTTTTTTTGCCAGCAAGTGATGGAGCCTAGACTTGAACAAAGGCCTGCTGGTGCAGCACTGCCCTTTGGCAGTGAGGCCCCTGGTCACAGTCAGCTCCCTGGATTAGCAGATCCAGGAGAGGACTGCTGAAGCCATGGTGGCTCTTCACGAGCTGCATCTGGGGGTGGAAAGGCCATGTCAACCCCTGGTGCTGTGGGACCTAGATGAGATGACCATAGACTTTCTCTGTCTCTGGAAATGTAAGGATGAGGGTTTCGCAAACAGTAATTAAATGGAGCCAGAAAGGCCTGGGGTGAGCAAAGTCAGAACTCAGCCTCCAGATCTGGGGCCCCAGTGCTCGCCTCAGTCTCCCAACGTAAGCTGTCTGAATCACAGCAGCAGCTGGGTCTATGTTGATCTGTGTTTTATTAGTCATGCTTGAATTATTCCCTGTGGGTGCTGTCTCCCATAGTTAGACTGAGTCCCTGCACAGAGGGAGTGTTAATTTGGGGGTCCACCTGGACCCTCACCCCCTGTGGCCCCTGCTAGGCAACCTCATGTACAGCAGAGACTTGGGATCAGCCAAGAGACCAGGGTTGGCACAGTCCTTACTGATAACTTGAGGAGATGAAACTTCAGTGAGGTGATTATTTAAAAAAAAAACCAAAACTTTAAAATTTGAAATAATTGTAGACTTATAAAAGTTACAAAAACATTATAGAGTGTTCCTGTATATTCTTCATCCAGCCTCCCCTCATGTTAACATCTCACATAGATAATCCGGGTACGTTTACTCCAACCATGAGACTGACAGCACTGTTAACAAAATTCCAGACTCCATCTGATTTCCCAGCTTTTCAACTTAATGACCTTTTTCTGTGCCAGGATCCAGTCCAGCACACCATGTTCCATTTAGTCTTCATATCTCCTTAGTCTCCGCTCAGACAGTTTCTCGGTTGTTCCTCGTCTTTCATGACCTTGACATGTGTCAAGAGCAGTGCTAGAATATTTTGTAGACTGTCCCTCAGTATGGGTTTGTTTAATGTTTTTTTTTTTTTCATGATTAAACTGAGGTTATGGGTTTTTAGGTAGAATGCCAAGAGGTGTTCTTCTTGTCATGTCACATCCTATCAGGAGGCACGTGACATCAGCATAACTTATTAATGATCCTGTTAATCTTGATCATTTGGCTGAGGTCTCTTGCCCGGTTCTCCACGGTAAAGTTACTGTGATTCCCTTTCCATACCCTATTTGTTAGATACCAATCACGAGTCCAGCCCACATTCAAAAGCGGGGGGGTGGGGTGGGGGAGAAATTAAGCTGTGCCTTTCAGAGGAAGGAGTCACAAAAGATTTGTGGTCATATGTTCAAACCAACCACCATTGATCAGGATTTTGAGAGAGATGCTTTAACGCTGTGCTGTTTCCAGTGAGGTGATATTTCTAATGACTTTGTTCAGTTTTGAACCCAGGGAAACAGGCTGTCATCCCTCTTCCCAGCTTTCTGTCACTGGGTTAGTGAATTTGAATAATAAAATGCTTAAGGAACCCTATTTCTTTGGGTATATATGATGCTTTATCAGATTTCTGCTGGCAGTTGCATTTTAATATTGGAAAAGCTGGAGGCTGTGTCTCATGGGAGTAACACTTGGGAGCTCGAAGCTGAGAAGCTTGATTGGTCCTAGCGTCATGAGATAGTGGTGCTCGCTTTTGCATGTGACTCACTCATTTGCTTGCAGAGGTACGGTAACAACTTATAGGATGTGCTAAGATAACGTCAATAGAAGACTATTTTTAGATGCCTTTTTCTTCCACCTTGAAGGCTATAGTTGAGCTTCTAATTGCCTTGTGTGAATTTAAGGAAAAAAATAGGGCTATAAATAGCTCCAGGCTTACTTGACCCTGTAGCAAATTCAGGGGCTCAGTGCTGTAGCTTCTTAGGCCAGGGGGGTACTTACATGCTCCACATTTCTCAGTCAGCTGCTTTTTAAAGTATCTATGGAAAAAGTACTTAGAAGGCACTGTTTTTAGCATTCTGACAAACTCTGTTATTGATCAATGATTGCCGGTCATTTAGGCAGAAAAAGAAATACTAAATGGATTTCTAAGGAAATATAAGTCTTGGGCTATCTGATTTTGATCATCTTTTCTAGTTCCCAGTGACACGGATAACTGAGGTATGCAAACAAGCAATATTCCCCCACCTGGTAGCAGCATACCTGACTAATTATTTGTCCTGGGAACAAAGCTGATCTTTAAGGCAAGTGGTTGACAGATAATCTGCTCTAGCACGTAAACTGTTGAAATCTGGAACTTTCTCTTCTAGGATGATTTCCTGTTCAGTGTCTCCATTTTAAGTGGGATCCTTTGCAGCATCCTGGCCGTGTTGAAGTTTATGCTGGGGAAAGTGCTGACCAGCAGAGCACTCATAACAGATGGTGAGTAAGGCCAGTGTGCCTGATCTCTGGGGGCTGAACTCACAGTGAGGGAAGATGCTGTGTGGGTCACTTTTAGTTGTGTGTCTAGCAGAAGAGGTCAATAATTGGGAACCTATACTCACCAGCTTCCTCTCCCCAGGCTGTTTAATGATTCTCAGGGTTCCCATATCAGGGCAGATGTCTTGTGTTCTGGGAACTTAATAAAGTCTTCATGAATCACCTCCACCCTGACCTCATAACAGAGTAGATTGGGACCCCCCAGCCTCTTAACCATGAAGCACAAAGGGCTTCCCAGAGTCTTGGGTTTTATATCCATTGCTCCAAATAAAAAGTTAAATGTCTTTGCTGGATTCTATAAAAGTTTCTCTCCTGGCTTCTCCATGCTTATTTTCCCCTCGGGCTAGTGAAATACTTACCTGGAAATTCAAGTTGCAGTTCCCAGGGCTTCGCTGGAGAAATGACCCAGGCGTTCTCTGCTGAAACCCCAAACCAGGTAGACGTGACCCTCTGTGTCCCTAAGGGTCAGGAGGAGCTTCCAGTGTAGGCTTTGGGATGACAGAGAAAGGTCTGTGAAAGCAGGAAAAGCATGTTTTAGTCTCAACCGGTGCTGGCATGTAAACAAGAAACTTGGCAAACATGATCACCTGGCCATTTTCTTTTTCTTCGTTTTTGAGCATGTGCAGTTGCCAGGGGGTCAGGAATAGAGACGTGAGTCCCCATACCCTGGGGGAGAGGTCAAAGGGTAAAAGCTTGTGGATTGGTGTATGTGTCTGCACAAAATAGAGCAGAAATCATTGGATTGATTAATTGATTGATTGATTAGCTGAGCTGTCCTGCCACCTGTTGGCAGCTCATTGGCAGCTCAGCTCGGGCCGGGAATCGAACTAGAACTCTGTTTCTCAGAGCTCGCTTTCTTGAGCGAGCTCTTAACCAACTGAGCCACTCGGCCGGCCTCTGGATTTCTTTTCTAAGAATCACTTCTTCCCCCTAAACTCTCAAGGCTCTCTCCCATGTGAAATACGTGAAAGTAGACGTGTAGGTGGCTGCTGTTCTGTTGTGGAGGGGACAGATGACAAGGCAGGGGGCCTTTCTGTCGCTAGTGACAAAGCCTGGTGACACAGTGTGGACTCCGACTCCTCATCCTATCCCATGCTGTTGCCCTGCTGTGTGTGGAGCTGGTCTTTTGCACAATAGGGCAGGCGGGCTGGAAGTCAAAGTGATGTTTCCAGCTTTGCAACCACAGCTTCCCTGGGGGAGAGCATCACGTGTGTGTGTGTGTGTGTGTGTGTGTGTGTGTGTGTGTGTATTCCTTTGAACAGGCCTGAAGAAGCTGGGGCTTTCATGACCTGACACGCTGACTGCAAAAACCAGGGGGCCCCAGAAGTTAGTCCGTTGAGCACTATCACTGGCAGCATCCGTTCCTTGTGTTTGTTAGAAGCAGATTCCTGGGCCTCACCCCTGAAAATTCTGGTTCTTGGGGCTTGATGGGCGGCCCAGGAAGTCATCTTTTATACTGACACTCAGTCCATGCAGTGAACACAGAGGTTTGTGCTGCTTCCATGGCCAATTCAAGGGGCCAGGACACAGTTCCACACCAGGGAAGGTGGACCCTGTCCCATGTGTCCTTGTGACCAGCAGCTCTCAGAATCCTTCCTCAAGTGCCCACTTCCGGCAGGGCCTGCCATCTGCTTCTGCCCTTGCAAGATGCCGTCTTTCTCCCTACTCTACAGAGGCTGTTTGCCCATCGGAAACCAAAACTTTTTAAATAATAAAAGTTGTGTAAAGGCAGTAAAAGTATCGGCGCCTGGGATTGAGGCCTCTACTTCCCTGCTTTGCTTTTTTAGGCAGCATGCAGGCCCTGCTGTGAGGATCAGGCACCCCAGCCCTGCTCCCTGCGCTCCCAAATGAACCCCTGAGGTTGCCTGCCTCGGTCAAGCCCAGTGAAATTAGGATTCAGCCAACATCAGGTCCTGGGTTTGCTGCTGTAATTGCTGGTGCTGTGGTAACATTGACCAGAGGGGTTTTACGGAGTTCTTTTGTGCCTGATAATGTGCTGGGTGCCCTGTTACCTGGGAAGCCAGCTCCCAATGCAGAATTAGAATGCCCTCTTTCAGGGGTGTGTAGTGTTGCCTGATCCCCCAAAGTGGGGTTCAACTTAAATAATCCTTCTGGTATAAAGGGATAGCTCATTCTATAATACCAGGGCCAGATCTACAGAGCTTGTGGCTCAGTCCCCTGAGAATGATGCAAGCACGCCTGAGGCCACAGCCTGGGCAGGTCTTCTGAGGTCTCTTGTCACCCACCCTGACAGAATGGATTTATAGGCAGTTTGCATCAAGCTGACCCAAGCATACTGTGCCACAAGACCCTGGCCGGTCTGGGGCAGAGCCAGAATCTGGGAGGAAGTGTTCATTCCCTATGATTTTTGTGGTCTGGTGTTTTTGAATCTGTAAAAGAAAACACCTCCTTTGGCTGTGGAGTCCTCCTTTTCTTGGGGTTGAACAGCACAGAGGTGCTTATGCTGAGAGCCAAAGGCTATGTGGCATGAACCAGGGGTTCAGGTGTGGATTTCCAGCTACTTTTGAGGTTACTTTATGTCGCTCCGAGGGACACAGCTCTGCCTGTGCCCTTTAGGCCAGAACAGAGCAGAGGCTGGGATGCACGTTGGCTTCCCCAGCCATGTGTCTGTGCCTCCCTCTCATGTCCCTTTGCTTGGAACACGGGTGATGGGGGAAGGCAGGCGTCCGGGAGGCCACATGGGTCAGCACAGCTTCCTGGGCTCCCAGTGCTGAGTTAGGTGCTACAGTTACAAAGCCCGTCTGGGGTCTCTTATCTATGCAGATGCCTGAGGGTGGATCCTGCAGTCAGACCCTCCCCCACATCCCCAGACCGGAGGCCCTTTCCTTCTCCCTGCCCGTGACCGTGGGGCTTGGGCCCCTTCTTCTCAGAAGAGTGGGCCCTCTGCCTTGCGTGGTGGTTTCACTTAACGTGTTATAGGTATTCCAGGTACTCAGTTTCTAAATATTTAGGCTTCACTGTTCTTCTGACTTGCCACCATTTTATATGGTGTACAGAGAAGACCCCAATTTTAAGTATGTTTCTTCCAATGATAACTCCTGACTTACGATTTTCACACACAAGACATCCACATGAATAAACAGTATTTCCATCATACACTTGAACCAAGGAGGGACCGTTATGAAGAGGAGGGGGTGGTTTAAGGGAAAACTATTTCCCAAACAGGCTCCCGCAGGGGTGAGCACTCTACAGGCAGAGGGAATCATGGTGGGAGCAAGCCTGGGGCATCTGAGGGGCCCGGTGAGGGGCCCCCATGAGTGGGCAAGGGCAAATCATGTAGGACTTTAAGGTCAAGGGTAGGCTTTGGGGTGTTTTGCTAAGTATTTAAACAGATGACGGTGCATGATTGATGTTTTCTGGAGAGCCTTCTGGCTGTCAGGTGGAGAACAGAGCAGAGAGAACAAGGACTGAAGCAGGGAGAGGTCTCCGGGGAGCGAAGGGGTGGCGGTGGCTTGGACAGGGGTGAGTGAGGGCAGAGGGGTAGAGAGTGTGGGGGCTTGAGGAAGTGTTGGTGACATATATAAAGTGGGCAGGACTTGAGGATGAATGAGCCATAGGGGTTGATGAGAGAGAGAGACAGACACAGGCTGGCAAATAGCGCTATTTCAAAGAGCAGAGGCGCCGTACCTGCTACCCCAAGCCCATTACCCACAACCCCTTGCTTGGTGGGAGTGTTGGCAAAATGTGCAGCCGTAATTGCAGCCTCCTGCTAATTGTATTGTCTGGGATCCAGTTTTACTCATTCATTGATTAACAGAGCTAGGGAACCATCTGTGATTCTCTGTTCTTGGTCTTTCCCTCACTTTGGGAGGTGGGGGCAGGATGGGGTTTGGGAGCCCTGCCTATCATTAATGTTGGGAGTTTCTCTTAGGGGCTGGCTCTGCAGGGCATCCTGGTGGCCGCTACCCTGGGAATGCCCCTCTCAGGGTCTGGCCCTGTGTCTCCAGGAAGGAAGCAAGTTTGACAAAGCGCTTCTGGGGCAGGCAGGGAGGGTGAGCCTCACCTGTCACCTGGTGAGGTGGCTGGTTCCCAAGCTGGAGCTGTATGTGAACTGGATTAGGCTGACTCCACCAGATCCTTTGTCACAGGGTTATGTCCTTACAGGAAGCAGATCTTCAGGGAATGGGGGCAGCAGAGTGTGAGTAAACTCCAGCTTTCCCCACAGCCAATCTTAGGTGTTCACTGCTATTAGCACGAGGCTGAAGCTGGCTTTGTATTTTTTAAGGTCCAGTGATTTTGTACTGCATGTTAACACTATAGAGCAGGCAGAGGAAGACTGTGGAAAGGCACCTGGGGGAAGTTCTAAACCAGTGGCCAGAAGCCGGGCTCCAATGCCGCCCACAGGGACAGGTGGTAATTTCTCTGAGTGGAGGGAACTGGGCTGACGCCTCTCTTGCTCCCTCACAATGCTAAAACACTATGATGGGTTTCAAACACAGTGAAAACTTTTAATCAGAATTTTCTGCATAAAATTAATGTGCTTAATGATACAGATTCTTATTTAGTCATTCATGCTGCTCATTAAGACAGCCTCAGGCGCTATTTTGTATCCTTAAACTGCTAACAGTGTTGATTCTTTACAGCAGCTCTGGTTTTAACTGAGGAGGCAGGAACAAGTTTATGGGCATGGGGGTGGGTGGGGAGACCGCACCCCTGAGGTGAGTGACCAATAGGCCGACCTTGTGTGCTGTGTTGGCAAGATGGGTGGTCTGGTGGGAGTGTTGTGAGACCAGAGTCCTTTATCTGGAGTGACTGTGGCTGGAGAGGCTCTAAAATTCTGAAGGATGTTGCCAGGCAGATACAGAATCGTCCCCCCAAACCCTGTGTTCTTGGTCTGGCGTTCCCTTGCAGGCTTGTAAGATGTGAAGTTGAAATGAGTCAGGCTCTGTCATAACCAAGGATGAGCAGAGCAGATCAGAGGTTCCTCCTAGGTGTAGGTGAACCAGGTGAAAGTGCCACAAATCCCTCCTAGGTGTAGGTGAACCAGGTGAAAGTGCCACAAATCCATCAGCTGTGAACTCTAGGGAGCAGGCATGGGGTGGGCCCCTGCTGTCAGAAATCAGAGGCTGGGCTGTCCTTGGCTGGCTGTACTGGTGACTTGGTGGAGCTAAGTGGACATCTAGTGGTCATCTGCAGGAACCTCACGTTCTCTCTGCATCCTTTCTGAGCTCTATGGATTTCTCGGAGGGTTCCACGTGTGCCCATGACAGAGATGGAGAGAGAGGACTGGAGGATTCCAGCCTGCCCTGGGCCAGTGGCCGTCTCCTCATCTCTCCCTTCCTTATAGTCAACCCCCAAACAGAACCTCCCCAAATTTGAAATGGCCAAGAGGTAAACTTCAGCCCAGGCTGCCTATGACCAAGTAATAGCCCCTGCTGATGCTTTTGGTGGCCTTCTGAGAAAAGATGTGGGCTGCAGAGATTTTTTTTTTTTAAGATTTTTATTGGGGAATTGGGGGAAGGGGAACAGAAAAGTTGCTGTCCTTTTGTTCTTCAGTCTAGTTGTGGAGGACGTTGCTTCACTTGTCCAAGTTGGCACCATGATTGCGCTCTTCCCGGGAGAGGCACATCAGTCACAGGCTTCTGGATGGCCGTTCACTGCGGCTGCTAGCTGCTCACGTTGATTGCTGGCTACACACGGTAGCCCATGTCAACCCACTGCCAGAGGGGCTGCAGACTATGCCATCACTAGCGACTCACGGCAGCCCAGCTCCAGGTTGAGCTGTTGTTCAGCATCTTAGCTGTGGAGGGCAGTGTCACTGGTCCTCATATGTGGGATCTGAACCGGGGCCCTCTGGCATCCCAAGCCAGCTCTTAACCATCGTGCCACTCGGCCGGCCCTGCAGAGATTTTTAAAAGAGAGAACTGGTCTGATTCCGTTTGTTAAAAAGAACAGGGAGATTCAAGGGTTAGCAGAGGTGAGAATAAATGCCAGTTTCTCAATGGCAGCGAGTGAATATGATCTTGATGTGTTGGAAAACGAGGAAACACAGCCTTTCCCTTCTCCCTGCTTTGGGAGCTTTGGCGGCAGAGCTATGAGGGTGTGATGTGCAGAGGCCAAAACCAAGGGCAGGACAGAGAGGAAGGAAGCTCCAGTGTGTTCTGCACACAAGGGGCTAAGGACTCAGCGGGCACAGAGCTTTCCCTTGTGGTGACAGAGGCTGCAGGTAGGCCTCTGTGCTTTAAAAACATATAGGGCTTAGGAGAGGCTGCTACGTGAGCCGTGTGGAGAACGGAGACTGAATGGAGGCCGAGCCCATTTCTTCATTGTCCAGAAGTGAGTGAGCATCAAGGAGCCACAGAAGCAAACTACGCAGGGGCCAATGCTGAGCCCTGGCCATACTGAGAAGGGGCAAGTGGGGGGGCAGCATGTGAAGGAAACCTGTCTGCCTCACACCTCATGGTTAGATGTGGAGACTTGGCCTTGGGACCTGGAGCAGGTGGGATACATTTTACGTGAAGCTAAACTCACCACCATAGTCCCTGCCCTCCTGCTCTCCCCCAGGGCATCTAGAGAAAGCTCTGTGTCAGGCTGCATGTCCGGCATAGGTGGCCCTCATGGATGATGTGTGGAAGTGCTCACTGTGGGTGGTGAGCAGGGATGGCCCAGGTAGACATGGCAGGGCAGGTAGAGACCCTGCTTGGAAGAGCCCTCACTCGCCCCAGTCTCCCAGCAGGTCCTGGCCTCTCTCTCAGCAGTTCCCTGGGCTGGCCTCCGAAGGATGTAGCCCCTTGGGTGAGAGGAAGGTGGAGGGGTTTCCCTTTCCTAGTCCCCCCTCCCCCCCGTCACCTTTATTCAGGTGAAATTGGGTTGGAAGTGTTCACCAGAAACCTTGGGGACAGCCTCGGAAGGGAGCAGGGAGGTTGAGCCCCCATCCACAGCCTGCTGTGGATTGGGGTGATGAGATGACAGAGATTTGAGGGAAGAGAAGAGGGTGCAACAGCCCATCAGAGATGTCAGTGCAGGCTCCAGCCAGGCTCATCTTGTTCCCATTACTGGGGAGCAGCCTGTGGAAGTCTCCTTGGATCTACTCAGGCTTTGCTCAGATCATCTCCACCCCACACGCTCCCTCTCCGCCTGCATTTAGAACCTTTCCCCTGGGTTTACGGCCCCCAGTGATGCATTTAAGGTGTTTCATCTCAGTTTTCTTGCCTGAACCCAGAATTAATGCTTTTAGCAAAAGCATGGTACTTCGGCAGATGGAGTTGCCCCAGGAATGGAGCAGGACCTGATGTTGGAGAGGTTCCTGGCCCTGCACAGACCGGCTGCTAGGGGACAACCAGGATGGACCTAGAACTTCTTGGGGCCACTGTTACGCTGAGGCAGGCAAGGAGCCTTGTGGCTCATACCATAGCGTGACCCTAGGAGCCCCCCGAAGCCATTCCTTTCCCATGTGGCCTTTGAAAACTCACAGGTAAAATGGAAGCGTGATACCTAAGTGGTAGGGACCCACTGAGGTATGACATATGTGAAAGGAGATTGATCGGCTTCTATTAGCTCTAGTTATGTTTTGATTGCCATTTCTGCAACCAGGTAGCTAATTCTAGACTTTGCATTTCTCTTGCCCTTCAGGTGACTTAAATCTTCAGGTGACTTAAGGAGATTAGAGAGGAAGGATATGGGTTCAGGTAGAAGCCTAGCCTATCCCCTCTCAATCTTTATAACCTTGGTCAATTTATTTAACCTCACTTTGTTTAACTTAGTTCTCTGATTAGTAAAATGTGACAACAATTGGACTTCGTAGGATGGAGAAGATCCCAGCTGGATACTGGACCCAGCAGGCATTCAACAGACTTGAATCACCAAGTATCTGAATGTCTCCTGTGTGCCAGGCACTGTCCTAGACCTTGCTCCTCGCGAGGTCTTCATTCTAGTGTGTGGGAGGAAGGCCGACAATAAATACAGACAGACTATGTCAAGCAGACTTAAGTGCCTGGCAGGGAGGAGGGTGGGGAGGGGATGATGGCTCTATCTAGCGCGGTCTCTTGTGACTGGGAGCCGAGACGTGACAAGCCACACAGGTGTCTGAGGAGTTGGCTATCACCTGCAAAAGCACTTTTGGGCAATGTTCCTTGCAGCACAGCTCTGGAATGTGGAGGCACGCCTGGCATTTGGGTAGTTTCTTTGGTGGTTAAGAAAGTTCCCTTGGCACTGCCGTCAGTCTCTCTCTGCTTCTTTCCCAGGGTTTAACTCCCTCGTGGGAGGTGTGATGGGCTTCTCCATTCTTCTGAGTGCGGAGGTGTTCAAGCATAACGCGGCGGTCTGGTACCTGGACGGCAGCACAGGTGTGCTGATTGGCCTCACCATATTTGCCTACGGGGTCAAGTAAGTGCCTGCTTACTGGTAGCCACGAGTGTTCCATGTTCCACCTCTGACGACGGTCATACCTCATACCCGTGACCCTCCTGAGCCTGGGTAAGGTCAGGTGATGGAAAAAGCTCCCAGCAGGGATCAGATATTCCTGTGGCTGGGATCAAAGTGAGGCAAGGACTGTGACAAGAGGCATAGCTTTAAGTCACAAAGGGCATCCTTTTGTCTGTTGTCTTTTTTTCTTTGACATTCAATATTTTATATTAATTTCAGGTGTACAGCATAGTGGTTAGACATTTATACAAAGGGTGCCAAAAAATGTATACACATTTTAAGAAAGGAAAAAACTATTAAAATCATAATATATACCGATAACAAAAGGTGAATACAAGTCATGTGTATAGATTTTTTCGGCATCCTTGGTATTATTTAAGAAGCGATCCCCTGTCTAATCTAGTACTCACCTGAAACTATACATAGTTATTACCATATATTGACTATATTCCCTCTGCTGTACTTTACATCCCCATGACTATTTTGTAACCACCAATTTGT